ATTTGCCTAATGCAATACGTCGTCTGATCTCTTGACTGCTGCTTCCGTGAGTGTTGATAGTTGATCCAAGAAGAATGAAGTCCTTGACAACTTCAATCTAATTATAAGTATTCATATATATATTTGTTGTACTGGTGTGGCACTGTGGGTTAATGCATTGAACTGCAAGGTCAGTGTAAACCAAAAGGTCTGTGTTTCAAGATCACCAGTTGCGCCTTGGAAATCCTAAAACACAGTCGCCATGAGTCGGAACTCAACATATATTTTTTTTCTCCTCAAATGGTCAACTTGCAGTTTCAGTTAAAATCAAATAGTTCTTGCAGATTTATAGTTATTAAACACTAATTTGATAGCTTATTTCCTTCCTCCAAAGTGTTAAAAATTGCAGTTATTTTTTTCAATGTTAATGTCTGACTTTTAATATTCTAAATAATTTGCTAGTATTTAGAATTGTTGTATCCTAAAAAACAAATCTGGGTTAGGTGCAAATAGTGAACACTGTTTACTTGTTTGCTTTTAAAACAAATCAGTGCTCTATCATCTGATATCATGCTTTTGTTGCTAAGTTCATAGTCTATATGCATGTCTGTAGTGTTCTTAGGCAGACAAAATTGGTGTCAATTAGATTGTTTAGAATTATACAGCTCTATGATTGCTATAATCACTTTTAATGCATTTAGTTAGTGTTTTTTTAACTAAATTAAACAAATTATTAATTGGTATTTTATAGTCTTAGTAATAGAAAAGATGCTGGAGATTGCAGGATAGAATTTTGCAAGAACAACTTATTCATTACAAGTAATTGTTTTCAACAACATAAATGGCAACTACACACTGGACATCACTGGGTAGAACACACATGAATAAAACAGGTTACATCAGTGGACAGAATATCATCAGTCAGAACAAGAGCAGAAGCTGACTGAAGAGAGGCCAGCAATTGCTCATATGCAAGTTCATATTGAAACTGAAGAAAATTGAACCAAATATATGAGTCAAAGTACTACTTTGAATACATCCCATCTGAGTTGATAGGCTACCTAAGAATCAATTTGACACTAAGGGCCGAAGACCAGATAAGTTGTATAATTACATAAAAGAGATAAAGAAAGCAAAAGGTTGTTAAAAATATAAGAAAGAAAAAACAAAAATGGGTTTTAGAAGAGACTCAGAATCTTGCTAGTGAACATAGAGTATTTAAAGCAAATGGAAGACATGATGAACAGAAAGATTTCCAAAGTGGACCTAAAGTAGACAAAATAGGGTAATGAAATGTACAGAGAACTGGAGTTAAAAAAAAAAATAAAATAAGAAAAGGCTCAGAATTTATCAAGCTGAGAGATGAAGAAAAAATTCAAGTCTTGAATTGAAATGTTGAAGGATTCTATGGGCAAAAATAAGAGCTATGGTAGCATAGTGGAATCTGAGCTTGGCTGCTAACTACAAGGTCAGTAGTTCAAATCTATCATTCTGTGGGAGAAAGGTGTGTTTTTCTTCTCCCATAAAGATTTATAGCCTCGTAAACCCTATACAGGGATGCTATGAATCAGAACTGACACCGAGGTACACAACCACAACTAACCATGGGCAAAATATTGAATGATGCAGGTAGCATCCAAAGAAAATGGAAGGAATACACAGAGTCACTGTACCAAAATAACTGGCCAGTGTTCCACCATTTCAGGAGGTAGCATATGATCAAGGACCAATGTTATTGAAAGAAGTCCAAACTGCAAAGAAGACACTGACAATAAGCAAGACTCAAGGAATTGATGGAATGCTAATTCAGATGTTTCAACAAACAGATACAATGCTAGCAGCACTTATTCATCTATACCAAGAAATTTGGAAGACAGCTACCTAATCAACCAAACTGAGATACTCATATTTGTGCTAATTCAAAAGAAAGGTTATCCAACAGAATGCAGAAATTATTGAAAAATATGATTAATTACCATATGCAAACAAAGCTTTACTGAAGATTATTTTAAAAAGTCAGCAGTACATCAACAGGGAATTGCCAGAAACTCAAGCTAGATCATGTAATTGTTCTCCTGCAGGACATGTACATAGACCAAGAGGCAGCCAACAAAGCAGATAACTCAGGAAAGTTGTGCATCAGAGTTATACTTTTTTTTTTCCTTTTTTACCATATTTATTCAGTCCTTAGACTGACCAATAATCTGAGAAACTGGCCTATATGAAGAAGAACCTAGCATCAAGATTGTGTATTACCTGCAATACACAGATGACACGATCTCTCTTTCTCAAAGCAAAAAGGACTTAAAATACTTACTGATAAATATCAGTGATTACAACCTTCCATGGATTACATGTCAACATAAAGAAAACAAAAATCCTCCCAACTCGACCAATAAACAACATCATGATAAATGGATAAGATATTGAAGTTGCCAAGATTTTAATTTTCCTGGATCTTACCATGGACACAGCAGTTAAGAAATTAATGTATTGAACTTGGAAAATCTGTTGCAAAAGACCTCTTTAAAGTGGAAAAAGCAAAGATGTCACTTTGAGGACTAATTTATACCTCACCCAAACCATGGTAGCATAGTGGTTACGAATCGGGCTGTGAACCACAAGGTTAGCATTTTGAAACTACCAGCTGTTCCGTGGGAGAAAGATGAGACTTTCTGCTCCCGTAAAGATCTACAGCCTCGGAAACCCTGTACAGGGTCACTATGAGTCAGAACCGACTCCACAGCACACCACCACCACCACCACCAAACCATGGTATTTTCAATTGCCTCCCATGCATGTGAAAGCTGGACAATGAATAAGGAAGAAGAGTTGATGCATTTTAATTATGGAGTTAAAAGTATTGAAAATACCATGCACTGACAAAAGGATAAACAAATCTGTATCTGAAAAAGTACGGCCAGAATGTTACTTAATAGCAAGGATGGTGAGATTTCATTCTGCATGCTTTGGACCTGTTATTAGGAGTAAACAATCCCTGAAGAAGGGCATCATGCTTGGTAGAGGGCCAGAGATAAAGAGGAATTATTTGACTCTGCTATAGCGACCCTGTACAGGGTTTCCAAGGCTGTACAAAACACCTTAGAACAATTTATTATCCTTTCTTACTTCCTGAACTTGACTACAGTTAGAGAAGACAAAGATTTGCTCAGCTGTGGAAGTCATAGACATTAAAATTACATGGCTAATATAGAGATTCAGGAGGATGTGTCTCATTTAGATGATGCATGCATGAGCTGTCTTCATCAATTAGCATCCCGGAAGCCACCATAGTTTGCGGATAGAAAGGTAAAAATTTCAGTGAATCACCAAATCCTCAAGCTGTTCTGATCTTTAAGGAGTGACATGCTAATTCAAACAATTGAAAGGTTAATTGCCCCACAGCTCTAAATGAATGCCATTTAAAGAAATAATTGCTAATCTTTTCAATGTGGAAAAGAAAAAAACAGACTCACAGAGCCAAATGACTCACCTCTTGTAGGTAGCAAGGGCACCAGCAGCTGTTACACCTTAAGGGCCTGTTTACTGTAATCACCTCTCGACCTGAGTTATCTGTGATCCTCAGGGTACAAGAACGCAGTGTGGAACAAAAAGTACGATTGAAGCAGATGCTTTCTTCCACTGCAAAGTAGATTCTTTGTCCCAAGCTGTTTTTAATCTCATATTTGTTGGAGGTCTCAGTGCCAAGTATCACTAATGAAGCAAGACATTTTTGTCAAAATGTTGCCATGAAAATCTTGTGATAAGTAAATGAGATGCTATTACAGAAAACAGCAGAGTTACTGATTCAATATTAAGTTTATGGTATTCACACAAATTTAATTTCTTGTTCTAAATTTTGAGGACTTAGTCATGGAAATCAAAGTAAACGCTGAAAATAAATCAATGCAAAATTAATATATTTTGATCCCAGATTTATGAGATACTTGGAATCATGTAGCACCAGTTTTCTACTAATAAAGAAATACTGTAAAGATGAATCTATTGCTCAGATAATAATTCTACAGTTATTATGTATAGTGATAGCAATTATTTTGTCTAAAATATGAGTTTATATGTTTTTAGATGCATGTTATTATGCTATTTATTATAATTTTGACATATTTTGGGAGTAATATAGACTACTAAGAACAGAAAATACTCAAGTAAACACTCAATTATATGACCAATCCTCAAGCAAATTTGTTTATTGCTAAATAATTTGCCTATTTGGTGACTCACTTATGAAATGATAAAACTAGAAATTTTTTTTGATGGTTTCTTTCTCTCTAGCCTCAACCCTGATTTCCATTTATGAAATTAAGAAAATTTAAATTATTAGAATCCATGGGAATAATCAGATAAATGCCTTTATTCTTCTAAGATTAATGATGATGTTAGAATTTTAATAACAATATTACCAAATACTTGGAGACTTTATGTCTTTAGATGTACCTAAAGCAGACTGTAGGATAAGTACTGAACTGTTAACTGCAAGTCAGCTGTTCACCAAGCTCCTTGAAAATGTTACAAAGGGTTCCTATGAGTTGAAACTGACTCAACAGCACTTAACAAAACCAACAACAAAGTAGACAGTGGTGTAGTAAATTATGTATCTCTTCTAGCTTTGTCTTTGTAACTCCCATCAAACAACTCTTTTCCTGATAGGTCTGGGTAAGAACTGTCATTAAGTGCCATCAAGTCAGTTCCGACTCACAGTGACCCTGCATAGGGTTTCTGAGGAGCAGTTGGTGGGTTTGAACTGCCAACCTTCTGGTTTGCAGTCCAATGCTGTCCCTACAGTGATGGAAAAGATACGGGTGAGTCTGGTGCTGTAGGATAAGCACTCAACAGCAAGGCTGGTTTGAACTAAAAGGTAGGGGTTTCATACATACCAGTTACTCCTCGGAAACCCTAGACATGGTCACTATGAGTCAGAACTGACTCAGTGGCACTTAACAACAATAACAAAGTGAAATTATTCAGTTGTGAATGTTAACAGAGTTAATTGTAACTGTGAAAACTTAGAACTCTAATGTGTTCAAAATGAGCCAACTCAGAAGCAGAAGGGTGATTTTACTATTATCTAAAAAGAAGAACTGGAGCTCTGGTAGCACAGTGGTTACGAATTGGGCTGTGAACCGCAAGGACAGAAGTTCGAAACTACCAACTGCTCTGCAGGAGAACAATAAGGCTTTCTGCTCCCGTAAAGATTTACAGCCTCGGAAACCCTGTACAGGGGCGCTATGGGTTGGAACCGACTCCATGGCACAAAACAACAACAACAACAACAAAGAGCTAGGAGAGGAGTGCATCCTCTGGACCTCAAGATACCTACACACTGAACATCTTTAACCCACGGAGAGAGAGCTGTAAAACTGGAGGAGTGAGGGAGAAACAGCAGCATCAGAATCAAGAACCAAAGCACAAGACAAAGCAGTAGGTATCCTAGTCCATGGGGCAAGTAAATCTATGTGACTTAGGGCAGGAGGTTTGCTTGTAGAGTGGGGTGCCTCCAGACACTGACACTCAGTGCTGACACACTGAGCTAGAGCTGTGTATCTTCAGACTGAAGCTTATAGTGCAGTGGTGTGTCCTGTGGGCATTCATGAGCAGCTGATTAGAACAACTGTGCCACAAACATTTTCTGATCCTGTACTGCAACCAGTTAACTTCCCTAATAAACCTCATAACTATGAATATTGTTTCTGAGTTCTGTGTGGCCACTGCAACAGATTATCAAGCTCAAGTGAATAGTAGAAAGGGTTGTGGGAAGAACGGTTCATGCTTCATATTATTGCATAGACTAATCAGGACTCCAATCATTTTACTTCCAGCTTTAATCTAAAAAGTAAATCTACATCTCTTTGTTTATCGAATCCTATCTTGCACATTTCATTTTTATTCTGTACAAAATATTTGTATTTAAAGAACTTTCTGAAAACTGAACTATTATTTTCAGTAGTTTTAATAAGTGCAGGCTATAATGTACTTACTTCCAAGAAGCTCCACCTGCTGGTGTATAATGATCAGGTCTAACTGTTAAAGGACGACACAGAAAATAGAAAGTATTACAACAGTTCAAAATCTTTGGAGATACCACCTTTTCTACATAGTGCTTATAATTAAGATGATTTTCATGTTTTCTATTAGGAAAATGGTTTAAAATAGCTAGCATTTTTTAAAGTAAAATGCTTTTTATTAAAGAAAAATACTTATGAGAACATGGAAAATCCCAAGTTCAACTTGCCAAAATAGGAATAAGAATTATGGTTAATTCTAAAATGTCTTTGCTAATGGAAAATAATGGCAGATAATGGAACCAATAATACTTTCAGCAGATTTTTAAACAACTCATAAATAGCAATACCTAAGATGTTTTAAAATTCAATTTTATTTTTTAAAGAAATTAAACAAAACAAGAACTATCTGAATTTTTTTTTTGCTTTTCCGCTAATCTTTGACTGACTACTTTCATTAAAGATCAGTGTCTTAGGCTGGTTCTCTAGAGAAGAAAAAACAACAACAGTGAAATGTGTATATAGATAGATAGATCAATAGATAAACCAATATAGAGATTTAGCACAAGGAAATGCCTCAGGCAATTGCAGAGGCTAACCAATAGTCCATGGGTCATGTATCAGACATAAATAACTACAGGGGCTGATGATTACAAGATCAGAAGTTCCCATGGCAGGTTGAGGACTCATGGGCTTCAGAGGCTGTTGAGTCCAGGATATTAGATGGTAGGTGCTTCATAGCCTGCCAAGGCTGATGGATCTCACAAGTGGGAGGTCAGATGATGATGAGCCAGATGAGGATCTGGAACAATTTAGCTTTGCCAGGCCACCCATATACAAATTAGATGCAGGCCATGGCCCCATGGAAACTTCTCTTACAACTGATAGGCTGATCACAACAGATGAGAGCTTGGGGAATGATTACATCATTATAAAACTGCCAAATAATAATAACTGTCAAACTACATCATTACATTACTACCAAACCACTGTGAATCATGGCCCAGCCCAATTGAATGTTGGCCTGCGGACTTAAAACATCAGCAGTTTGAAACTACCAGTCGTTTCATGAGAGAAAGATGAGGCTTTCTGCTCCTGTAAGGATTTACAGACTCTGAAACTCTATACAGTGTTGCTATGAAATGGAACCAACTCCACGGCACACAACCACCACCACTACATATATATATACACACACACACATATATGATGGTGGTAAGTGCTGTTAGTTGCTTCTACCTTATAGTGAGCCTATATAGCATTTCCAAGGAGGAGCTGGTGGGTTTGAACTATCAGACTTGTGGTTCATAGTCCAGTGCTGTTCACAGTCCAGTTCACAGTTCTGGTGTGGCACTGCAGGATAATGTGCTTGACCACAAGTTCAGTTAAAACCCACCAACTGCTCCTTGGAAACCCTATACAGGGTGGCTATGGGTTGGAACTGATTCAATGGCACCTAACAACAACATATATATGTATACACATATAATAAAACAAGGAAGAAATACTCATAATAATTACACTCTTCATTTCTGCAACAAATCATATAACTAGTACTTATAATTACCTTCTTCCACCACCCATCCATATTCTCTTTACCCCACAGCAGGCATCTCAGTTGATTGTGATTCTTTGCCTGGTGGGGAGACTCAAAACTTCCTTCCAGAAGGGTCTAGGCCATTAGTAGTAATGTTGGAATTGGGTTGCTGTAAATTTTCATTGATTTTGATCACAGGGTATGAAATATAGGAGATATCTTGAGGAATCTTTCATACATACTCATTTATATTTTTATTATGCAGTATCAATCTTATTTCTTATTGGTAGTCAGGGTCAATCACACTAGCCAATATGGGAACTCCTTTCTTTTCCCGATGGTTCAGAGGCCTGAGGAGCCCATGGATAGAAAATATTTGAGTAGGAAATGTTTGAGTAAGAATGCCAGGTGGTATTCTTAACTTACAATTCAATGGAATCTGTGTTGTGTCTCCAAGTGGGAGAATTCTTCCTTTGGAACTAAGCCCTCTAGACCCATAGACCATAAGAATACATTTGTGAGTGGGTCACGTGTGGTGTGACTCCTATTCCCACTCTTTGATTCCTCTAACTGTGAATCCTGGCGATAGAAGAAAAAGTACAGTATAGTACAGAGTATATACAATCTCCTAGAGAACATTGCCTCAATGTTGCCACCTAGCTGGTACCATTTTTGTGTCTGTAGAAGTCCATTCCATGATTATATTAAGACAACTTGTTTCAGGATGATGGAGGACATAACAAAGCTGAGTAAATTCCATGAGCATGGTCCCATTACCACACTTCAGTTGTTGTAAAGTGAGTCCTTTAAGCAGAGGCAATTCTGTGTGGGATACCATGAGAGTGGGTAAGGAATGCAGCAAAAGCTAATCACTATCTAGATTAAGTTTTTATCCCCCTAAGAGTGAAACACCACCCTTTTCCTGAAGTATGCAGTCCAAGGTAACCAAGTTACCACTAGCTTGTTGACTGAACATGTCATTAGGGACTTAGTGTTGATCTTTCCTGTAGACAGATGGGAACTTCAGTAGTGACTGGAGCCAGGATGACCTTCATGAGTTGAATTCCATGTTGTTGAGCCCATGTGTGAGGGTGAGTCAAAAATTATCTGCACGCTGCCTGTAGAATTTATTTTAATCAACTTTTAAGAAAAGACAAATACATAATTTTTCAACATAATCTCTTTGCTTTTCAATACACTTTGTCCATTTTTCAACAAGATTTCATATTCCCTTAATAAAAAATGGTTTAGACTGAGCTGTGAGTCACAAGTGCTTCAGAAGTGAATCTTTGTCCTAGAAGGGCTGCTTTCAGAGTACCAAACAGGTGAAAGTCTGATGGAATAAGATCAGGATGCTTTAACACCTCAAAATGACGTTTTTGCAGAGTGACAACAATGTGGGCAGATATACATTATTTTGCAAGATCACAATGCCCTTTTATAGCAGTTCTCTGCATTTAATTTGAACTTTAGACTTCAGCTCTTCAGTGAACATCTCAATGGAACAAAAACTATTAATTGTTGAACCTTTTACTTGACAGTGTTCCAGTACTGGCCCCTTGAGAATCCCAGAAAACTATAAGAATCAATTTTCCAGCCAATGGCTGACTTTTGAACTTTTTCAAGTCCATGAGAGCCAAAATATGACCTTGATTATATCCCACCTGAATTTAGAGATCATCTGAAGAACAGATTGGATACACTAAACACTGAAAACCAGAAGAGTTGTGGGAT